TCTAGTCAAGTAAAAGAGAAAGCCAATCTTATGGAGGTTAAAGATGAAGTTCAACTCACTCTCTTAATGGCAAGACACGAGGACGAAGGAGAGAAGAAGACGTGGTATCTTGACTCCGCTGCGAGTAACCACATGACTGGGGAAAAAAGGTTGTTTGTAGACATGGAACCAGCCAAAGGGTGCGTGATGTTTGGAGATGATTCTAGAGCAAGGGTTGAAGGCAAAGGTAAGATACTAATCCTTGCTAAAGATGGAAGTCACCAATACATCTCAGAAGTTTATTATGTTCCAAGTCTTAAGAGTAATATCTTGAGCTTGGGACAACTTCTGGAGAAAAATTACGATATTCATTTGAAAGATCGTAGTGCCATAGTTAAGGATCCAGAAGGAAAATTGATTACCATTGTGCCAATGACAAGTAATAGAATGTTCTTGTTGAACATTCAACATGAGAACTGCATGAAAGCATGCTTGAAGGATGATTCGTGGATTTGGCATATGAGGTATGGTCATTTAAATTTTGGTGACTTGAAAATGTTATCTGCCAAATGCATGGTGAAAGGAATACCTCCTATCAATCAGCCCAATCAAGTATGTGAAGGATGCTTACTTGGGAAGCATTCGAGGAGTGGTTTCCCAAAAGAAGCAACATCAAGAGCTAAGGAGCCTTTAGAACTCATCCATACAGACTTGTGTGGTCCTATCTCTCTGCCATCCCATGGTAAGAACACCTACTTCATTCTATTTATTGATGATTTCTCTCGAAAGACTTGGGTGTATTTTTTGAAGGAGAAATCACAATCCTTTGATGCCTTTAAGACATTTAAGGCTATGGTGGAGAAGGAGAAAGGCTTGAAAATCAAAGCCTTAAAGTCTGATAGAGGTGGAGAATTCACATCAAGTGAATTCACCAAATTCTGTGAAGAACATGGGATTAGACGATTCCTTACTGCTCCTTACTCTCCGCAACAAAATGGAGTTGCTGAAAGGAAGAATAGAACCATTCTCAATATGGTTCGTAGCATGCTAAAGAGCAAGAAGATGCCAAAGGAGTTATGGGCTGAAGCAGTTGATTGTGCAGTATACCTACTAAATCGATGTCCCACGAAGAGTCTAGAAGACAAGACTCCACAAGAAGCATGGAATGGGACAAAGCCCACAGTAAATCACCTACGAGTATTTGGGAGTATAGCATATGCCCATGTACCAAGCCAAAAGCGGTCCAAACTTGATGATCGAAGCGAGAAGCATGTCTTTGTTGGCTATGACAAACAGTCAAAAGGTTATAAGCTCTACAATCCAGTCACGAACAAAGTTATTGTGAGTAGAGATGTAGAGTTTGATGAAAAAGGAACCTGGAACTGGAATATTGAAGGTGACGAAAGCTACGACTTCCTTCCTGTCATCCATGAATACGATGATGACAGTAGTGATGCAGGTGAAGATACTCAGCAACCTCAAAGTCCACATCCACCTTTGAATGAAGAGTCACAAAGGACGAGAAGCCTACAAGAGATCTATGAGGAAACAGAACGCATAGAGGCTCTCACACTCTTCTGCCTTTTTGCTGACTGTGAACCTCTAGGTTACGAAGAGGCAGCAAGGAACGAGAAGTGGAGACACGCTATGGATGAGGAAATAAGATCCATAGAAAAGAATCAAACTTGGGAGCTAGCCTCTCTTCCAAAAGGCCACAAAGCAATTGGAGTAAAGTGGGTGTTCAAAGCAAAGAAGAACGCTAAAGGAGAAGTTGAGAAGTACAAAGCAAGACTTGTCGCCAAAGGCTACAAGAGAGACATGGCATTGACTACGAAGAGGTATTTGCTCCTGTTGCTCGCTTGGAGACTATCAGGTTAGTAATTTCTATCGCTGCCCAAAATAGATGGAAAATCCATCAAATGGACGTAAAGTCTGCATTCTTAAATGGCTTTCTTGAAGAAGAAATATATGTGGAGCAGCCAGAAGGATATGTGGTCAAAGGCGATGAGAATAAAGTTCTCGTGCTAAGGAAGGCTTTATATGGTTTGAAACAAGCACCAAGAGCCGGAATACAAGAATTGATCACTATTTTCAGGAAAATGGTTTCAAGAAATGTCCAAGCGAACATGCACTCTATGTGAAGTTTTCAGGCAATAGAGATATGTTGCTTGTTTGTTTGTACGTGGATGATCTCATCTTCACAGGAAATTCGCCTAGCATGATCAAAGATTTCAAGAAGGCAATGACTAAAGAGTTTGAGATGACTGATATAGGACTTATGTCCTATTATCTTGGCATCGAGGTCAAGCAATTGGATGATGGAATCTTCATCTCTCAACAAAGATACGCTAAGGAAGTTCTCAAGAAATTTGGCATGGAGAAGTGCAAGCCAATAGCCACCCCCATTGAATATGGAGCAAAGCTCTCAAAAGATGATGAAGGAGATGTTGTAGATCCAACTCACTTCAAGAGCCTTGTTGGAAGCCTACGTTATTTAACATGCACAAGGCCTGATATTCTCTTTGCTGTGGGACTTATCAGTTGATTTATGGAAGCACCTACTACGACACACTTGAAGGCTGCCAAGAGGATACTTCGCTACATCAAAGGTACTATTGATCTTGGCTTGTTATATTCCTCATGTGATGACTTCAAGCTTGTGGGATTCAGTGATAGTGACTGGTCTGGAGACTTGAGCGAACGGAAAAGTACTACTGGATTCGCATTCTTCCTTGGCAACACTGCCTTTACATGGGTTTCTAAGAAACAACCTATAGTCACCTTGTCATCATGCGAGGCCGAGTACGTAGCAGCAGTATCATGTGTATGTCATGCTATCTGGCTCAGGAGCATGTTGAAGGAGTTAAGTATGCCACAAGGAGAAGCGACAGAGATATATGTTGACAACAAGTCAGCCATCGATCTGGCAAAGAATCCAGTCTACCATGATCGAAGCAAGCATATTGATACAAGGTACCACTTCATAAGGGAATGTGTGGCCAAGAGGATCGTTGAGTTGAAGCATACAAGATCACGTGATCAAGTTGCAGATATTTTCACCAAACCACTCAAAGGAGAAGACTTTGCAAGATTGAGGATGATGCTTGGAGTCACCAAATCAAGTTTAAAGGGGGGTGTTAGTAAGTAAACTTAATTTGGTCCAATTAATATTGGGTTATCCAAAATTATTAACTTGGACCATGAATCTTTATGTTTAATCCTAAGCCCAAGTCCAATGAAGAATTGTCTAGATAAGAAGATATCTAGAAGTAGAAAGTTCTAGAAATGTTTTACATAAATATCAAGAGTATGTAGAAAAATTCATGGAAAATATCTAGAAGAAATATCTAGATATTAGTAAGGAAAAGTCTAGATATTAGAATAAAATATGTAGATATTTAGAAGGAGTAGAAACATCTTGAAAGAGTGTAGAACCTTCCATGCACTCCTATAAATAGGAGTTAACCCCCTAATGTAAGTATGTGTAGAGAGTTGTGAGAAACCTTAAACTAAAAGCTTAACACACTCCACCTTGTTTCCTTTTACTACAAAGTAGTAAAGCTCCCTTTCTCCCAAAATTTCCTTCTCTTCCATTTTCACTTCCTAAACCTATCACTTAAAAGATCTCTTCCTTATAACCCAAAGGGTTCTTTTGCTAACACGCTGATTGTGTCTCCCAAGGCTGTTTCTGATTCCCAGAATTCGCAGACTTGCCTCGACCCGGACGCTAGTCGCAGTGCGTTGGGAATTACAATACTTGGAGGTGGTGCAGGGACTAGACTTTACCATCTTACAAAGAAAAGGGCAAAGCCAGTTGTTCCTTTGGGAGCAAATTATCGTCTAATTGATATCCCTGTCAGATTTATGTTCTCGCACAATTCAATTCTGCATCGCTCAATAGGCATCTTTCACGTGCTTATGCCAGTAATATGTGTTTGCAGACCCTCCAGATTTACCATTTAGCAAGGAACTCAAGAGAGCTTGACTGAATTCGGACTTCGGAATCATATCGGCTTGACCACTAACGATCATGGCTGACCGAAACTGATCACTGTCCATTAATCGCCCAGATTTGCGTTCAACATCAATGGGAAACCGAAACGAGAGGTCTTTTTATCATTTTATGAGAGCAAAATATGTTTCCTTTCTTTTTACTCCCTCTTTCTAGAGTTTCAGAGAATGGATGATAGAAAGTAGAAACTCAATGATGAATAAGATAAAAGGAGGAGGCGGAAACCGAAAAAGTGAGTGAAATAACAAAAACCCTAAATTTCTCCCGTATAAATATGTATGCGGGTCTATCTAGAAATACATCATTTTGGGCATGGGTTTAAAAAAAAAAGAAAGAATTGTAATGAAACTGTCCAAACAAATGTACGAGCTCCAGCTCTACCGCTTCTATTTGACTATTGTCTAAAAGGCTACCAAATATTAATTGATTTTTTTCCTATTTTCCTTTTAAATTTATTGAATGTGACTATTTAAACACAAATTTAAAAATCTGTATGGGTAGTTACGCATGTCCAGTTCATGGTCTTGATTTAATAACAACGTTCAAAGAACTGGATATACCTAATTAACCAGTACTTGAATTCAAAAGAATGGTTGGTTATGCTTAACCATCATAGTTATTCTTGACGAACATGGGTTTCTTTGGGATAAACAAAAAGATTAATTGTCGGAAAGAGTGCATTGTACATGTGATTTTCCACCATTTTAATTAGTTTGTAATTTTCTTTTAAACAAATTATCATTTTGTACAAAAGCGTGCTATCAAGCATGAGCCTACTAATGTGATTTTGTTTTAGAGGGAAAAAGAAATAAATATGCAATGAAAAATATACAAAATTAATAATTTTCTAGCTCTCTCCCAGTTAAAAACAAGTCATATTTTAATCAATATGATATATAAAATATGAGACTGATTTTTCTAAGTACCTGTCAAATCAAACATTTGTTCGTCAGCTTTTGTTCTTTCACTTGCCAGCACAAAATGCCTAACTTGTTTTTTTCATTCAGTAATGACAGCCACTTCCTTTAGCTCTACTAGTACATTAATTTGTATACTCAATTTGAGACAACCAATCTACGAATTTGATCGGCGGCCTTTCATTGTTAAGGATTGGGTGGTGATAGAGGAATTAAAGATTAATGAAATCAAGACAGTTCCTGTATGGATTCAACTGCCTAAACTCCCTCTGAGATATTGTAGTGAGTCAATCCTAAGCAAATTAGCAAGTATGATAGTGAAACCTATTGAAATGAATGATATGACAGTAAACAAGCAAAGAACTGCATTCGCAAGGGTGTTGGTGGAAGTTGATATCAGAGACACAGTTAAGGAATCCATCTGGTGTGAAGATGAACATGGAGAGCTTAAAGAGCAACAAGTGAGGTATGAATGGAAGCCTATGAAGTGTTTGAATTGTAAAGGTTTTGGCCATACTACCAAGGATTGTAGACTGCCTGTTGTGAAAGATTGGAAGAAAAAGGAAGGAAATGTTGTTGATGAATCAAAGATGCAATTGTCTGATGGTAGTCAAAGGAATGAAAAGATGCTAGAGGAACATAGATCTCCTATGCAAGCTGATCTAGTGTTCTCTAGACATGTTAGCAGTCCAACTCCAGCAAGTGGTGTAAGAAGGCCATTCAGGATCCTCAAGAGAGGTCAATCACCAGATAACATAGAAGGAATTCAAAATTAGAAAGGAATTAAAGTCAATGAAGGAAGGAAACGTGAGAAATGTAGATCAGTTAATACTATATGTTACTCAGAGTCTACTCACTCTGATCCAGGGCCTCGCAATCATGAGTAACATCTTATCATAGAATGTTAGAGGGCTTAATAGCCCTCTGAAGCACAGAGAAGTAAGGAACTACTTGGCTGTGAATAATGTGGGAATAGCTGGTCTTATGGAAACTAAACTGAATCAGAAAAGATTGGATGACTTGATGAAGAAGAAGTGGCAGCAGTATGATTATATTGGAAATAATGAAGGAGATAACAAGGGCAGAATTCCGATTTTGTGGAGGAAAGGTGAATTTCAAGTGAGAATGGAAAAGAGGACACAACAACTCATTCATTGTGTTTTTAAAGAGAGGGGCACTAGTAAACAGTTCTTTCTAACTGTTGTATATACATAATATAATGCTTCTAGAAGAGAAGGATTATGGCAGGATTTAACGGAATTGAGAAGATCAGCTGTAGGGAAGTGGATAATAATGGGTGATTTTAATTGTATACTAAAGAGGGATTAAAAGCTAGGGGGAATAGCATATCTGAGTCCAGATACAGGGAAGTCTCAGCAAGTGATTGAGGATAATAAATGGTTGGAAATGCAAATGTATAGTGGAAGGTATACATGGACTAATAAGCAAATAGGGCAACTGAGAATCTTCTCTAAACTAGATAGAGTTCTAGTTAATGAGGAATGGATGCAGGAATTTGCTGATGCATATGGTACTATTCATCTAGCAGGTATATCAGATCAAAATCCAATTCTAATAAGATGGGGAGATGAGAATCAGCAAGTTAAAAAGGTCTTTCAGATTCTTTAACATGTGGACTCAGCACCCAGAGTTCATAGAAACTGTTGATCAGGGATGGGAAACACAAATTGAAGGCAGTAAACAGTTCAAACAGAAGCTGTTGAAACCAATTCTGAGAGAATTTAATAGGAAGTATTTTGCAAGAATAGAGGAGAAGGAGATGATGTGTAAAATAAGGCTAGAACAGATACAGGATGCACTGAAACAAGATCCCTTGAATGAGATTATACAAAAGGAGGAAAAAGAAGTATGTCAGGAGTACATTAGCACCTGTAAAGCAGTGATGAGTTTCAGGTCTCAAAAATTGAAGGAGAAATGGGTCAATGAAGGAGATTTGAATACCAAGTACTTTCATGCTGCTATAAAGAAATTGTTACAGAGGAAGGGGAACTATTAGAAGATCATATGGGAATTGAAGAAAACTTTGTGAGTGAAGTGAAGTCTTTCACTCAGGGATTAAACTAACTATAGACCAGCAGATTCTCTTGGTGAAAGACTTTACCAAAGCAGATTTCAAGGAGGCACTTTTCAGTATTGATGAGAACAAAAGCTCAGGACCAGATGGATTTAGTAGTGGATTTTTACATAAAAGCTTCGGGTATAATAGGTGATGATTTCAGTGATGCAGTGTTAGAATTCTTTAAGATTGGGAAGCTGTTGAAACAAATGAATGCAACAATAATTGCTTTGATTCCTAAAAATGAGAGCCCCAAAAATGCCACAGAATACAGACCAATATCCTGTTGCAATACCATCTATAAGTGTATCTCTAAAATGTTGTGTAAGAGGTTGAGTAGGATTCTGCCTGAAGTTATTGACTTGAACCAAGGAACATTTGTTCAAAACAGGCTGATTTTGCATAACATTCTCTTAGCACAAGAACTGATGAGACTGAACAAGAGGAAGAATGCTAAACAATCCTGTATGATGAAGGTTGATCTCAAAGAAGCTTATGATTTTGTTCATTGGGCATTTGTTGAGGAAATGTTGAAGGCAATGAAGTTTCCAGACAAGTTTATATATTTGGATTATGGAATGCATCACTACTTGTAACTATTCTTTATGTCTGAATGGTAACAGTGTGGGCTATTTCCAAGGTGAAAGAGGTTTGAGACAAGGAGATCCTGTCTCTCCTTTGTTGTTTGTATTGATAATGGAGTACTTAACAAGGTTGTTCAAGCTGGAAGCAGAAAAACCAGGATATGTCAGACATTCACAGTGTGAAGAATTGCAAATTACTTCCTTGAGCTTTGCAGATGATCTGCTTATATTCAGTGGAGCTTATGCTAGAACAGTGATGAGAATTAAGAAAACACTTGATCATTTTGCGGTTACCACAGGACTGAGTATCAACTTAAGCAAATCTAACATGTATTTTGGAGGAACCTCTCAGCAAGTCCAAGAATAGATAAGGAATATTATGAAATTTGAAATTGGTACTTTTCCTATGAAGTTCCTTGGTTTGCCAGTAGCTCCAATTGCTTGGAATAAAACAAACTGCCAGTATTTGGTGGAAAAAGTTACCATAAGGATTAAGACTTGGGAGTCTAGAAATCTCTCCTATGCTGGAAGAACTGTTTTAGTGAAGTCAGTCTTGATGACCCTTCACTCTTACTGGGCAAGTATTTTCTTAATCCCTCAATCAATCATCCAGTAGATTGTGGTATGCTGCAGGAAATTTCTCTGGGGGTGTAAGGAAAATGGAAAATGTGTTCCATTGGTGGCTTGGGATGACTTATCCTGGAAAAGAGAATAAAGGGGTTTGAACATTAAAGAGCCTGGAGCATTGAATAAAGCTCTACTTGGGAAATAGATGTGGGATATACAAATGAATAAAGCAAGTTTGCGGATCAAGTGGATACATATATACTACCTTAAAAGGGAAGAATATATGGTACTATCAAGTGCCAGTATGTTGTAGCTGGCACTGGAGGAAGCTGATCAGAATTAGAGATGCATTACTTCCTGCCGTACAGAATGGACAATAGATTCCTAATAAAGGCAAACCTTATACAACCAGTAATGGTTACCATTGGATGAGGGGGAGGAAAGAAAGGTTTAAGGAGGCCTTATTTATATGGAGTAAATTTTCAGTGCCAAAGCACAACTTCATAAGTTGGTTGGCCTGGAAAGGAAGAATGATGACCAGAGATTAACTAGCTAAGATGGGAGTTCCAGTGGTGGATCAACTGTGTGAGCTCTGCAAGCAAGAACCAGAAACCATTCAGCATCTCTTCTTCCACTGTAAATATAGTCAGTACTTGATCAGCAACACTACAGCTTGGTTGGGAGTTAGCAGGAGTATCAACAGCTTGAATATTGGTCAACTTCTCAACATTTGGAGACCAAAACATTGAGGAGAAAGGTTCTATATGCTTGTTTGAATGCAGTGGTGCATCATGTTTGGTTAGAAAGAAACTCAAGGTTGTTTAGATCATCAACAGAAGCAGCAAGTAGCCGGGGTGAGAAGATTCAAATAGAGATACAATGGCGGATTATACACTTGTATAGAAATGGTAGTGGTGATGATGTTCGATTCTTAGACAAGATTGGTATACATTGTAATGGATTGATGTAAATATTTTGATCATGAATGAATGGATTTCACATTTTACCAAAAAAAAAAATTGTATACTCAATTCATATCGACACATAATGCTCGCTTTGTCCCAAGATTATTGTCCAGTTTAGATTTTCATTTTTAATTCAATGACTATACATCTCCCCATATTATACTTACATTCGCATCTCCCATAACATAATTCCAAAAACAAAATGAAAATAACCCTTTAGCAAAATTTTAATTTCCCCTCAAACAAAACTCCAGGGGCGTCTCTTTGATATGAATGTTTATTCTTGGAAAAATTATTGAAAAGGGCGTGGGAAAGATCAAAATTATTTTTAAGGGCATTAGCATTTTTTATTTTTCAACATGAATATTAAAATAACTTTTACCCCTTTTTAAAATAAGTCATTTTCGATCAAGTTAGAAAATGACTTGTTTACCCCTTTTTTAGTTAACCAAAGTAACTCTTTATTCCCTTTTGTTCCTGTCATCTCTTTACGTTGATGAGGCTGTTCTAACTTGATCGATCAAGCCCCTCCCATCTCCCATTCTACCTTACGTCTCATGACCCATCTCATGTCTCCTTGATCAGTCAATTTATACGTGACACTTTCTGGTATTATTCTAACCCTAATTCTTTATTTTATCAAGAATTTATGTTCATGATTTAGTTGTTAGGATGTTCTACCCCTAGTTCATTATTAAGATTTCAATTCTTTTGAAGGAAGTACTACTGATTTATTTGTTTTGGAATATATTAATCATTTCAATAGATTTTTTTGTTTAGGATGGAGAAAATCATCTTTCGTTTTGTCATTGGGGCGGCGAAAATGTACTGGCGGATGATGGATCCTTATTTGTTAAAAAGAGGTGTTACTAATTCAATTCGTGTGCATAGTGGCATGTCTTTTGAGGAGTTCAAACTATTGTTTTTTTATCAATTAAATATAAATTCTAAAGGCAAATCATTATATTTTACTGTGAAATATGACCCCAAACAGTTTATTCTTTTGAAAGATGATCTTGGGATGGAAAATTGGTGTCTTGCAATGATGAATATGCTCATATCTTTGCATCTCAATCTGAATTAAGATAATACTGCCATCTCATGCAAGTAGCAATAGTCATGTGGTATGAGATTATTTGTTTATATTTTAACTTTGTTTGCTTGTTTAAAAGGGTGTAAATAATGGTTGGTTGAATACAGGTCTCTTGTTGACAAAAAACCTAGTTTACCGTACACCGGTGCCTCCAATCAAGCGGCAAAAGATTCTTCATTAAGTGGAGGCTCTCAACTATTCATTGGTGGAAAATGGAAGGATGTCATTATATGCATAGGTCAAACATTTGAAAATGCTAAAGCATTTCGAGATGCAATTTATAAATTTTCCATTGCACATGAGTTTCCTTACACTTATACACACAATAAGCCAAAGTTTTTGAAGATTCATTGATGTTAAAGGTTGTGATTGGAAGATTACTGCATCAACTGATGGAGATGCAAATAGTGTGTCAATAAAGAAGTTTCAAGATGTGCATACTCATTCTGTTGGTGATGTGGTTAGTTTTAAACCCAAATATTAGTCAAAT